TCACTAGAAGGACTTTCAAAAGAAAGTGTAAATGTGACTGAATTGAAATGAAGCCAGACTTTAAAACGGGTCTGTTGGTCTCTGCTGTATTTGTATGACTGCATTTTCCCTGCTCAGTAAGAAGTGCATTTGGCACATGGGGAACAGGGGACACACACGTCTCCGGGGCATGCTGCTGACTATGTGAGGAGTGTCCTGCCCTGGGCTCCTGGTCTCTCCTTTGACCAGAGTCACAGGGTCACAGATGATCCTGGTGCACACGTGCCCTGTCAGCCCTCGCCCAACTTTTGGCAAAACCCCAAATCCCAGCACCTCAGCTGTGGTGTTGCTGTTATACACTGAGCAAATTTGGTCACGTTCAACTCCTAGGCTTTTTTGTTGTTTTGTGTTTTTAAGTAGCTGTAGACACTAAAAGACTTGAGGTAGGTGAGTTACTTGAAGGGTGTTTAGTTGTACCAGAATATACAGAAATAATGCAAAATCTGCATCTCAGTTTACAAATGAAGAGGTTTCAGACAAAACCCCCAAGAGTTGTGTTTATATTTGTCACCTTTGGACATCATCTGAAATTAAGGCACCACCTATCTCCTTGAAATCCTCCACAGGAAAATTAAACACTAATTCAGGCACGGTCAGGAGAATGTTAACTGTGAGAATATTTGGATTTATATAATTGAAGCCATGGGGAGAAAACACATTTATTTAGAAAGGTTGGATATGATTATTTTTATTTAAAGAGAAATGTTGTAACTCAAAAAGGGCACACAAGGTAAAACTTTCACAAGATAATCTTTCAAGACAAGATTAAAAATTTAAAATCCCTAGGTTCTAATAGTGTTAGAAATGAAATAGTAAAAGACAGAACTGATGTGTTTAGCCAGAACTCATTTGTGTAGACAGACTAAATGGTGGGGAACTGAAGCACTTGCAGACACTGACGAGCTCAGATGGTCAAATCATCTCCAAGTTCACTGGGAGACTGACCACCCCCAACCTCCTGTGGCTAATAGGACTAGCCCAGAGTATCACTTAAGAATTAGCCACTGCTAGAAAAATACAAAAAGCAAAAAAAAAGAAACACTGAAAAGAAAAACCATTGTACGAAACCCTGTATTGGACAAGTGCTTACATGGTACACAATTAAAGATTATTTCAAGTGGATTTAGAACTATTATTTGGGGCACACATACTTCAGAGGTGCATTCTAAGGAAAAAACTGTAAGGAAAACGTTGAGCTTTTATTCAGCAGTTTTATTGTTTGTAGTAATCACAGTCTTGTTATCGTAAAACTATTTTTCTTTTTATTGTTGGATAAAGCAAGTAAGTATGAAATGTTTATGTTCTCGGAATTAACACTATATAGTATAAGAGAAAAGAGATTCAAGATTAGAATTAAATAAATCAAGCAGAAATACTACACTAGAATTGTCATGGAAATATTAATTTGAACTTCTGATTTAAAGGAAAAAAAAAGAAGAACCCTCCCAACCTGTCCACCAGAGCGATCAGGAAGCAATGTCCCTCTGGCCACGTGACCATGCCAAGCATCCGTATGTGGGCTGCAAATATCACTTCTCACAAACGCAGCTAGAGCACCTGTGAGGAACATCCCTTCCATGTCGTAGCTGAAATATCATCACACTCTTAGACCGATGACCCATCCTGAGCCCTGAAAAGAATGGGAGCTGCAATCATGCAGAACACAGGGGAGCAGCCATGAGCTGCACACAACTGAGCACTTGCTGCATACACGTGTGGAGGAAGGCAGGTTTCGACCTGAGACTGTCACGGCAGTCAGGGGGCAGCTCATCCTCCTCCACCTTTTCTGCAGTTATTGTCATGCACCAAAAACAAAACAACAAAATCCCGCGGGGCCGTGTGACCAGCCCAGCCAAGACCAGATCTCAGCAGCTGCCCAGGTACAGACCGTGAAGGTGGAGTTGCTGACCATAGAGATGCCTCTGCCCTCCCCATCCCATGGACCCACCCTGCTAGGGCTGTGGGCAGAGGGTACTTGGGCTTTGCCTCACTGACACAGTCTCGGTGTTCACTGTGCTTCTAGACCGTAAAGCAGAGATGACTGTTTTTGTGGCTCTCAAGTGTCTCCTCAGTCACCCAATGCAACTTCAGTGTCCTCAGGGGTTACAACAACTTGTGCTTACTTTCTCACGGCTGCTTGTAAACTCCCTGTGCAAATGAATCTAGAAAACATCTAAGAATACCACAATAAAGACGTACAAAGATAAAAAGAGTAATTTATTTTGAGTTGTAGTCTCACTCTGTCACCCAGGCTGGAGTACAGCAGTGGCAGGATCATGACTCACTGCAACCTCCACCTCCTGGGCTCAGGTGATCCTTCTTCCACAGCCTCTGAGTTGCTGGGACTACAGGCGAGTGCCAAAATGCCCAGCTACTTAAAAAAATGTTGTTGTAGAAGGCCAGGCGTGGTAGTTCATGCCTATAATCCCAGCACTTTGAGAGGCTGAGGTGAGAGGATTGCCTGAGACCACGGGTTCGAGACCAGCCTGGGCAACTTGGTGAGACCTCATCTCTACAGTAAATCAAAAAATTAGCCGGGCATGGTGGTATGTGCCTGTAGTTCCAGCTACTGGAAGGCTGGGGCAGAAGGATCACCAGAGCCCAGCAGGTAAAGGCTGTGGTGGCCATGAGCGTGCCGCTGCACTCCAACCCGGGTGACAGAGTGAGACTCCAACTCAAAAAGAAAAAAGCCAAAGTAATGACTGCTCCAAGATTACACTGGAGACCAGACCTGATCTCTAGGCTTCAGGATTAAATATCATAGAGCACACGCTATTCTCAGTGCAGATCAGACACCCACCAAAAAGGTTGTGAGCATGCATTCCACCTGTCTCTAGAAGACAGAGCTCTGGAAATTCCCAGGATAGAAGGGCTGCCAGAACTTGCCCAGGGCCTAGGAGTCAGTGCTGCCCAGGGAGTCTCCTGCATCCAAAATCCAGGGAGAGACCATGGAAATAACTGGTCAGTCTCCTTTTGATAAGACTACTGCTTATAAGCAGAATCCCCAATTGTTGAGTGTTTTTTTTTTTTTAAGTTGGAGTCTCACTCTGCCGTCCAGGCTGGAGTGCAGTGGCATGCTCACAGCCACTGTAGCCTCAACCTGCGGGGCTCAGGTGAACCTTCCACCTTAGCCTTCCAATTAGCTAAAACTACAGGCACATGCCACCACACAAAATTTTTTTATTTTTTTTAGAGTTCTCGCGCCACGTTGCCCAGGCTGATCTCAAACCCGTGGGCTCAGGCAATCCTCTCACCTCGGCCCCCAAAGTGTTGCCATTATAGGCTTGAGCCACTGTGCCCAGCCGTTGAGTGTTCTTTTTGCTAAGAATAGATATTTGATATGGTAAACTTAAGTCAATAATCATAAAAGCACCTTGTTCTAGAATATTTTTTTGTTTGCTGTCAATGAAATTAGGAATCAGATTCCAGTGGTGAGAAAATCCCACACCTTGCCCACTGCTTCCAAGCACCTGTCTTGCATCCTTGCCTTTGCCTTTGCAGGTGTTCAGAACTCATTGCAGACACGGTGGAGCTGGAAGTTTCCTGTGACCCTCCAGGGGAGCCAGGTGCAGGGTCAGTTCCTTGTCTGGCTCCTCACTCCTGCTCGGGCCCCCTTGGCGTCCTCCTAAGGCTGGCAGTCTCCTGCAACTGCACACACTCGGATGGTGCGTGTCATCCACAGGTTTCTCATGCAGATGAAGCTTTTGGCTAACAGGAATGTGCTTACTGACCTCTGTCTCTGTGTCTCTCTTCTTCTCTATCTTCATCTTTCTGTTGCTCTCCTCCTCTCTTCCTGTGTTTGTCTCTCTGTCTCTTTCTATGTCTGTCTCTCTCCCTGCCCTAGGCACTGCCTATCTGCTCCTGGGCCCCAGGATCTCCATCCATCTTTCTGGTAGGGATGTGGCAAGCTCCCCTCTGGCTCAGGACTAAAGGCTGGCAGGATGGGAGTTTTTCCATGGTGATGAAGGGATGAGACAGTGGTTGACCCTAGAGGGGTGGGTCACGGGCAGAGGAGAGCCCCGAGGGTTCGACTGCTGCACTGTCTCTGTGTAGTTTGAACTACTTACACATATTGCTTTTGTGACGAGGTAGAACAAGTAGTTTTAGACTTAACTGAGCCAGTTTGTGGCTGTCTATGTAGACCTTGCAATGGTCTGCCTGATTCCCGGCGTGTTTGTCCTGCCAGGCCCCAATGCAGCTGGGGTGGGTGTGTCCTGGCCCTGTGAGTGCAAGTGTCCCACAGCTTCACGACTGTCCCCTCCTCTGTAATGTGGACCTTGCTGTGAGGCCACAAGAGAACACATAGGACAATGCTTTGTAAATGGCGCAGCACCTTAACAAAGTGACAAAATACGCACTCTCAGCGAGGCCAAGGAGGACTCCCAAGGGGTCCTGGCCGTGGCTCCCTGTCACCCTCTGCTCCCAAAAGGTGCTCCATGCCCTCACCTGCCACTGCACAGAGAATGGGAGACTGTGTTCATGTTCAAGCTGGATATTTTGTAAGAACACTGGCTGCACCCCATGGACTGAGAAGTCAGCATTATTAGTACTGCAGTGTCAGTCCTCGATCCACCTCCTGCAAGCAGTGCCCTGCTCTGGAGGTCAACCTCCCCGTCCCAGGGCGGTCAGTTGGCCCTGGAACTGCAGTCTTACAGCACAATTCTAAGATCACCACAGAAATCACCTGTTGCAACTCTTCACAGAGGGGGAAAGGGAAGCCCAGAGGGGGCTGCCCGTGGTCAGTAGCCAAGGGGAGTCTCAGATGTTTTCCCATAGGAGAAAGGACATGTTCAGAACAGCTGCAAGAGTCAGTGCTTACAGAGACCCTAACCTTCCAGCCCTGCATTGCCCCAGCCATCTTACTCATGGTCAGGGAGTTCCACTTTTCAACTATGTGTGTCTTTTCCAACATAAAGTGTTTGAAACTAGCAAAATGCAGCAAGATAGCTAATCACACTCAGTTAACAAATATTCAAATCATTTATTGCCATTAAGTTACAGCATCGCAATATACACACTGCATGGAAATACACAGAGAACATTATTAAACACTGGGGTGAAAATTTTGGGTGTGGTCAGCTGTTGCTTGTTTTGTGATCATTAAAGAAAAAGTCAAGAATTTTGAGTCCTTAAGTGCTAGGAGTTACAGATTTTGTTCTCTTCAGTTTTTCATTAAGTAAATTCTAATAGACAATATACATATTACTGCAGATAAAACCATCATCAGAAATTATCAAATTAAAATTACATATTTTGAGCTACTTTTTATGGAGAGAAGTAAAATAGTACTTGTAAGGCAGCAGAGAGTTGGCTTACCGACTCTCAGCTATTTCTATAAAAATAGTATGGTCAGTAAAAATAGCGCTCGGTGTTATTTGTCCTCGTGAGCCTATTTGTGACAGTGACTCTGTGACCCAGCAGTTGTGGCTGGTGATGCTGTCCCTTTAAGAGCTGGTTCCTTTCCTTGTTATGCAGATGCCTTTTTAGCCATCCTGGAAATAAACATAGAGGAAAATTCAATGAGAAATTCAAAGGCTATGAATGGCTTTTAAAAAGACACATTTACACAACATTTATTTCAACTTACACTTTTATAAAGATAGTAATACAAGTTGGGTATGCCTTATCTGAAATGCTCAGGACCAAATGTGTTCCGGATTTCAGATGTGTTCAGATTCTGGAATATCCACATTATACCACTTGGACATCCCTAACCCGAAAACCTCAAGCCCTAAATGCACCAATGAGCTTTTCCTTTCAGTGTCATGTTGGCAGCCAAACCATGTGCCGCAGATTTAGAGCATTTTGGACTTGGTTTTTGGACTTGGAATGCTCACCCTTTACCCATCTCATGTCGACTTTCCTGTTTTGGTAAATCAGTTGCTCCCTCAACTGCTGAAGCACATGTATGCACACACTCCCACCCAGCCCCCCAGCCCTTCAGACAAGGCTGTAGCCTCAGAAGGCAGGAGTGACAGGAAACATGCTTACTCGTATTTGATGAGCCGGCTTCCCTGAATGAGCTGGGCGACTTCATTGGTTGCATGACACGCAAATAGAAGCCAGTTTCGAGGCTGCACCTTGTAGGCAAATCTCATGAATATCAAAGAATAGCAACAGAGGGCTGCCAAAACACCAAAGCAGAGGAAACCCATCATTACAGCCTTGAAAGGTGAAGCTGGTGCGACCACAGGGACCAGCAGCTCCACTGTCTTAATCAAAAACAAACCTCTTCTGCTAAAACCCTGACAGGTGGAACAAGCTGTCACTTAAATGCCTCTGTGAACAGGAAGCTCACGGAACATCTGACTACACTGGTAGGCATCTTCTTATTTCCTACTTAAGCACTCAAGGAGCATACTTGAGGAAGAGTCGGCTGAACGTTGTTCTAACTGCTTTTTCTATCCCCTAGAGTTGTCTATAATCCACTATCTGAAAAAACTGCTATTTATTCCCCCAACAATAGTTTCAACTTCAAATATCAGGGTTCCAAGTGAATTTAATGACACTTCTCCCAAATAAAGCTCACAATATGGATCAGGTCAGTGGGCATGTGGGAGGATGAAGACGACACATGCGTCAATTAGATGGGCTGAGCTGAGAAGCAGGAGGGATGTTACCACTTCTAGATAAATATTTCTAATTAAGCCTGGTTTTACTTGCCATAGAGAGGTACCACTCTTCAGTGCCTCTGTGTTCTTTATGTGACCTTCTACTAGTGACTGTCATGTCAGGTGCTACAACCTTGAAACGGGAGCCGGAGCTCCACTGTGTCCAGAGTCCTACCAGCGACAATAGCTTGTATGTACCCTTACCAAATGTCATCCGACCACTGATGATCTCGGGAGACTTTTTCATGTCATTGATGGCAGCAACAGGAAGACCCCAGTTGGCCACTGGGCCCCAAAAGTGCTACAAAAGAGAGAGAGAGAGAGAGAGAGAAGGGAGAGAGAAAAAAGTTATGACAAAACTATAAACAGCGGCAATTTCCTTTAAACCACCATGTGAGGCCTGAAAACAAGTCTTCATGCTTCCTTCTTGCAGGCAGACTGAGTTAACTCATGGAAGGTTAACACTGAGGCATCTGACTGTCTAAATGCTTTCACATGACTCAGCAGTTCCTACAATAGGTCTAGAGCTAGAAAGGAGGTGGCAGTTTACCAAGGTCCCTACCAGCTTCCACACTGCAACTAAGTAGGTCTCTGTCCGATTTAGAGAATTAAAAAAGAGATGAACTTCTTATATGATTCATTCTTGCTATAATTAAAACCTTGTTAGAACTATTCTCCATACTATAATGTTTAAATTGGTCAAAATTCCTTTCTTCAAATTTTCATTAAGATAATTGTTATTAATTCTTAAAATTATTAACTCTAAATTGCATACTTTTATTTCTAAAGAAAGAAGCTTAATAAGGGAAGAAATTGTTTCCAGCTCATATGAGCTATTCTAAGATTAAAGAACATGGAAATCTACATCCAGAACCCCAGATACTAAGAAATTAAGATTGGAAAATACTTTTGAAGCAATAGCAAAAACTTACATTAAAAACGGGCCAGTAGTTTTTTATTTTATGACTATACTCATCCAAGAATATCAAAATGAGGTTGTCTGTGTTAAACAGCCGCTAAGTACCATGTAATTTCTGAGGCTGAAATGAGTAAGGCCAATGGCTTTTGTTCATTAAATTTAAAATTGTTGCATTAATACAGACCTTGCAAATAATGTTTTAAAATCTGAAAGACATCATACGTTGTTGGCTAAGCACCCCTTTCAGTCATCAGAACATTAAACAGTGAAAACAGTCCTTGCTTGAGTTCTGCCTATCATAGTGTTTAGGATAAATTCAGACTGTAGAATATATTTCTTGACTTTGCTTTTCTATTATTGATTAGGACTAAAATGCAAACATTCCCTAAGAAATAGGAAACCAAGGGAAATATGAGAGACATGAATGGGAATTACAGTTGGCATGACAAAACATTTTGAAATGTTTACTTAACATGCTTTCGTGTAAGTCACGCAGCTCATGCTTTGAAAATGATAACAAGAGGTCAAAGTTTCTATGTGGCTGGCCTGGCAGTACCTCAGGCTCCATGTCTGAGTTATAAACTCTGTCAATGAGGCACAGCTGGTTTGAAGAATCCTTTTTTTTTTTTGAGCTGGAGTCTCACTCTGCTGCCCTGGCTGGAGTGCAGTGACATGCTCACGACCACCACAGCCTCGACCTGCTGGGCTCTGGCGATCCTTCCTCCTCAGCCTTCCAAGTAGCTGGAACTACAGACATGTGCTATTGTGCCCGGCTTTTTTTTTTATTTATTGTAGAGACGAGGTCTCACCAAGTTGCCCAGGCTGGCCTCAAACCCCTGGGCTCAGGCAATTTGCTAGCCTTGGCCTCCCAAAGTGCTGGGATTACAGGCTTGAGCCATCACGCCCAGCCTAAAGAATCTTTGAGCTTCTGGGCTTCCTAATCCTCATCTTGTATTCAGACTAGACTTCTCTAAGACACTCACTGCCTCAACCTGAGTTTCCTACATTCTGCCAAGGTATAGCATTTTCTCACTCCTGCCCTTGTAAGGGAAGAGGCCCTGTCTCTCCCTTACCTGCTTGCTTCTCTTCCTATCCTGCTGCTGGGTGGTACTGAATCTTTCAACTTTCTATTGTTCCACAGTGATCCTCCATTTCCTTCTCTTTTGCCCAGACCTTTCTCACTTGGTCTAGTTTCCTCTTCTGTTCTGCTTCCTGTCTCTGGGCTGCTCCACATTGGGTGCTGCTCTCGCTGTCTACTGTAAGGTGCATGAACCCAGTGGGCTGTGACTTAGCCTGGGAAGTCACTCTAAGAGGGGCGTGGCAGGTGCAGTTCACCACCTGCCAGGGTGAATGTGTCCTCTCTCACAGCTGGGGCTGGAACAGAAATAGACAATGGAATGAGTCTAAGAGGAGATAGCCCTGGGGTTCCTGGCTGAGTGACAGTATTAAAAGCTTCAGGGGATGAGTGTTCATCACACCAAGTTCTGTACATTAAGAACTATGTGTATACACATGACTGCAAGCACTGAGCTGTACTTAAATCCACTTCTTAAAAAGAACACAAAGGTAAATGTCCTTTAGACACTGACACTGGCTTACTAAAATGCCTAGACTGAGAAGTTTATAATGCATGCTTTTGATCTAGTCCAAGATTCTATTTCCTCTTTCCTTTTTTAGAATACATGTTTGATCTATGTTTCATTAGATATTCATCAATTTCCAGAAAATAAGAATAATAATATCCGAAAAGAGAAATTAACATAATTGGATCAAATAGAAAAACATTTACTCTATTATGATTCTTAATTGTGCCTAAAACAAAGTTCATACAGAAATGAGCAGCGCCCGGTCCCTGACTGGAAGTCAAGGCATGGAAATAAGCTCCCGTCTACAACTGTCATCTCACCCTTCCCTTCCTGCTCTCTCTCTTCCTCTCTCACCCTTCCCTTCCTGCTCTCTCTCTTCCTGTCTCCTCACTCTTCCTTTCTAGCTCTCCTCCCTCTCCCTTCTCTTCCTGCTCTTTCTTCCTCTCGTCTCACCCTTCCCTTCCAGCTCTCTCTCTCCCTCTCCTCTCACCCTTCTCTTCCTGTTCTCTCTCTTCCTCTCTCTCATCCTTCTCTTCCTGCTCTCTCTCTCTCTCCCTTTCCTCAGCTGCCACGCTCTTTAATGATGTTATCAGTGAGGTTCTCACATGCCCCTTCCTAAAAACAGGAGGAAGAAACACCGTGGTCCTCACAGGAGCAGGATCTGGAGCTCACTAGGAGAAGCAAGGGTGTGGAGGGCACCCTCTCCTACAGCTCTCCACCACGTGGTTGGAGGGACAATGCCAGCAAAGGGTGCCACACCTGTTGTCCAGAACTCTGTTAATGCAGAAAGTCTGCAAGAACCTGACATAAGCAGAAAGAATTTTCTTACCGTACTATTTTGTGAGGAGTCACCAAGGTTCAGAAAGAGGAGACATGGAAGAAAAAAAAAAAACAGATCAGATGCTTTAAAGATTTTGGTTCTAATAGGTTACTTTAACCTCACACCTGTATTCAAATTTCGATAACAAGACTACAATGTTAGCAACATACATTCTTTTGTCTTTTCCTGTTTTTGGAAAAGATCAAGTAACATTTCTAATAACAACTCTGAGTTAACAAAATTAAATCTTAATTTTATGGAAAATAAGTTTAATCCTTAGAGCAGAGTAGTCCAATATTAATATAATGCAAACCACAAATATAAGTCATATGTGTAATTTAAAAATTTCTAGATGCATATTAAGAAAATTAAAAAGAGGCCAGGTACGGTGGCTCAGCCTATAATCCCAGCACTTTGGGAGTTCAAGGCAAGAGGACTGCCTGAGCCCAGAGGTTCGAGACCTGCCTGGGCAACTTGGTGAGACCTTGTCTCTACAATAAATCACAAAAATTAGCCGGGCGTGGTGGTATGTGTCTGTAGGTCCAGCTACTTGGAAGGCTGAGGTGGAAGGATCACCTAACTGCAGCAGGTCGAGGCTGCAGTGGCCGTGAGCATGCTACTGCACTCCAGCCTGGGCAACAAGAGTAAGACTCCAACTAAAAAAAAAAAAAAATTAAAAAGAAACCACAATGTTAGTTGTATTAATAGTTTATTTATGGACAACTTGGTGAGACCTCATATCTATAATAAATCAAAAAAATTAGCCGGGCGTGTTGACATGTTCCTATAATTCCAGCTCCTTAGAAGGCTGAGGCAGAAGGTTCATCTGAGCCCAGCAGGTCGAGGCTGTGGTAGTCGTGAGCATGCCACTGCACTCTAGCCTGGGCAACACAGTGAGAATCCAACTAAAAAAAAAAATTTTTTTTAAATTTGTACAGATGATCAATAAATTTTGTTAACTAGTCTTTGCATGCTTTTTTGTACTAATTCTTTGAAATCTAGTGTGCGTTTTACATTTACAGCACAACTCGGTTTGCACCAGTCACATGTCAAATATCCACCTGTGGTCTGTGTCTCTCAAACCAGACAGCGCTTGAGGGGAAATAATCCTTTGAAAATGGCAGGTTGGAAGGAAGCAGCACACTGCTGAATTCCATCAGAATCTCTCCATTTCTACTTCCAGAAAGTGAACCCACAGATGCACGGTTTGTGTTACTACTGAACTACTTAAAGTGGCGCCTGGCATACATTTATTTATGTATTTATTGATTTGAATTCATTTGAGTCTGGGTTTCACTCTGTCACCCAGACTGGAGTGCAGTGGCACAATCATGGCTCACAGCAGCCTCTACTTCCTGGGCTCAGGCAATCCCTCTACTTCAGCATCCTGAATAGCTGGGACTATAAGCAAACGCCACCATGTCTGGCTAATTTTTTTGATTTATTGTAGAAACAGTGTCTCACTGTGTTGCCCAGGCTGGTCTTGAACTCCTGAGTTCAAGCAATCTGCCTGCCTCGGCCTCCCAGAGTGCTGGGATGACAGGCACGAGCCACTGTGCCCTGCCAGTACTTAGCATTTAGATGACAGTCAAAAAGTATTTGTTGAGTGGTAAAAACTCTCAATGCTGTTTTCCTGAATGTTAAACTGGATATCTTGTAAAAAAATACAAAAAGCTTTATAGTGAGTTATTGTTATTACTGAAACAGCAATTACTCTTGCCAGGTTATAGCTTAACTCTTCTCTTATAGCAAAATCTCGAAGTTGAGCTACTGAGTTATTTGGATAAAATAACAAAATCCTTGCTAAATGACTTGCTAAAGTCTAAACAACTCTACTGGTTGTTTTTATTCTGAGGTCACAAAGATTCTAATTATAACATGAAAGTAATTGTTGATGGTGCTGATAATACAGTAGCCTCTATTATCCTCAGAGAACATGTCCAAGACCCACAGCGATGCCTGAAACCATGGACAGTACAGACCCCTACATGTACTATGCTTTTTTCTAAATACACATCCTAGGATAGAGTTCAATTTATAAAATAGGTGCAGTAAGAGATAAACAACAACAAATAATGAACTAAAACAATTATAACAATTTACTGTTATAATACTTATGTGAATGTGGTGTGCCTCTCTCAAAAGATTGTCAAATTTTTGGACCACAGTTGACCTTGGATAGCTGAAACTGCAGAAAGCAAAACCGTGGATAAGGGATGACTACGCCACACTTCAGATAGGGTTTACTATGAAGTGCCTGAAGCCACAGAAAGAGCCTGTCCAATAAATTACATTATCAAGACTATATTTCATAGCAAGTGAAACTGACCCCCGTGCTTTTAAGGAATTGATAGCCTTCCAGAATGGACAACATAATGAGCTAGCATAGTCACCTGCAAAACTACCCTCCTTAAAATACCTTTTTTGGTATCTAAGCATAGGATTTTCACATAACTATAAATTACCAGGGGCACATATTTTTTCCCTATAAACACATTTACTTTTGAGTTGGAGTCTCACTCTGTTGACCAGGCTGGAGTGCAGTGACATGCTCACAGCCACCGCAGCCTCAACCTGCTGGGCTCAAGTGATCCTTCCACCTCAGCCCTCCAAGTAGCTGGAACCACAGGTATGCGCCACCATACCCAGCTAGCTTTTTGATTTATTGTAGAGACGAGGTCTCACTAAGTTGCCCAGTTTGGTCTCAAGCCCATGGACTCAGGCAATCCTCTAGCCTCTGCCTCCCAAAGTGCTGGGATTACAGTTGTGAGCCACCATGCCTGGCTAAACACATTTTAAAAGCTGTAGTATTTACAATGTAACGTTTCGACTTGAACATAACCTAACTTTCAATTTAAGACTCTCCTTAAATCACACAATAGTTCGATGCTATCCTGTTTTTCAACAGGTGACCCTAGTACGGATTATAATGTTATGAGGATAGGGAGAATTAATTCCTACCTTCGTACCCTATTCAACACAGAAGTCTTACATAAGGATGATCACTTTACTAATGGTTTAATGATTGCAAAACAATCTGGGAATAAAGTCATTCTTAGCATCCCTGCTAAACACAAAACTTGACAACTCAACAGCCCTCAATGCTGTGTCAGGATTTTCTAAAACATATGAATCAAGTATTCAGTCACAAAAATTAAGAAAGCATGCTTGTGCAAAGCCAAGCTAGAAAAAAAAAAATGCCTCCTAGTGTTAGTACCTGTTTCAAAAAAAGATCAACTTATAAGCCATGTGAAACCTGCAATTTGGGGATAATAATGAAAAACTATGTAGAAAATATCCTTGATTTTTTTCTTTACTTGATATGCTGCCTTTATTTTCAGTAAAAACAAAACAAACAAGAACTCTTATGTGCTTTCTTGGGTTCACTTATGTCCTTGAATTTTCATGGAGGAGAAACTATTATTTCCAGTTAAAAATGAACTAGTTTTGGCGGGGTGCAGTGGCTCAGGTCTGTAATCCCAGCACTTTGGGAGGCCGAGACGAGAGGATTGCCTGGGCCCAGGGGTTTGAGACCAGCCTATGCAATTTGGTGAGACCTCGTCTCTGTATCAAGAAAAATTAGCTGGGCATGGTAGCACATGCCTGTATGTCTGGCTACTTGGAAGGCTGAGGTGGAATGATCGCCTGACCACAGCAGATTGACGCTGGGGTGGCTGTGAGCATGTCACTGCACACTAGTTTGGGTGATGGAGTGAGGCTCCCACTCAAAAAAAAAAAAAAAAAAGAACTAGTTTTGGCAATTATAAATAAAGCCTCTGTATACATCTGTGTGCAGGTTTTTGTGTGGACTAAGTTTTCAACTCCTTTGAGTAAATACCAGGGAGTGTGATTGCTGGCTTGTATGGTAAGAGCATGTTTATTTTTGTTAAAAACCGCCCAACTATTTTCCAATGTGCTTGTTTCGTTTTGCATGCCACCAGTGGTGACTGAGGGTTCCTGGTGCTCCACATCCTCACCAGCATTTGTTGTCAGCGTTCTGCATTTTGACCATGATAATAGGTGTTTAGTGGCATCTCAGTGTTTTAATTTGCACTTCCCTGATGACATCTGATGAGGAGCATCTTCTATATATGCTTACTTGCCATCTGTCTATGATGAGGTATCTGTTAAGGTCTGTGGACCATTTTTTAACTAAGTTGTTTACTTATTATTGTTGAGTTATTTTATATTTTGGGTAACAGTACTTTATCAGTTATATTTTATATTTTTCTGTTAATTGACTTCTAGTTTAATTCCACCAGTCTGAAAGCAGATACTTATGATTTCTAGCTTTTAAGTCTGTTAAGGTATGCTCTATATGCCAGCGTATGACTTATTTTGGAGAACGTTCCCTGTGAGAAGATGTGTAATCTACTGTTGCTGATGGGATAGTCTCTAGATGTCTGTCGTACCCAGCTGGTTCATTGTGCTGTTGCACATTTCTTGTCGAGAAGTAAGAGTTATCTACCATTATTGTTCAAGGCCTACATTGGAAAGCATAAGTACCTCCACTCTAATCAAGTGCTTTTATTATTACTTTAAGTCAAAGCTTGCTGAAGTGGGATGACTTTCATGGAACCTTCTCTTTCACTCGGGGTATTGGTTGACTCAAGGTTTCTTTGAAGTTCATTTTTATTTTCAGAATGTCTGCTAGGCACTGCCCAACTCAGTCTCTTATTTTCCTAAAATTATTGGCAGTAATGTGAGCTTTCTCTGAAAGTACTGACAGTAATTGAGGTAATTTATAATTTACTTTTTAGTATTAGGATCCACCTGGCACCCTAACATAGGCTACTCATAACACACTTAAGTGGGGAAAGACCTTGAGATTTTTTTAGATTGTAATTTTATAATTTGCTGAAATGCTTGCATTTCATTTATTCTCACCAATTTTGTCTAATTTTCTAGCTCAAGTTAAAATGAGAGTGTTTTAACAATTAGAATGTGTGTTAATCAGCTGTATTTAGCGAGCCAAAACTCAACTGAATGACAGTAAGGACCTTTGAGAACTAT